TGAATTTATCTGTTTAAACTGACTCAGTTTCCCTTTTCAGTGAGATAGTAGAAGGCATTCCTGTAGCTGCAGGAATCAATCCTGCCTCTGGAGCAGATACCTGAGGAGTGAGGAATAGCTGAAAATCCCAACAAGAGCCAAAGGGGTGGTTTTCAGATGTGTTGGACTGTTCCCCGCTGCAATAAGAGCATTCATTTTTGAGAAACTGGGCTGGGCCCTTCCCAGCTTTACCCCAGATTTTGTTTTACCCCAACCAAACCACTTTAACCCTTTGTCATCTCCTCCACACCTTCCCTTGAGTACAATGAGATTAATACCTTTATCTTGTGGAGGCCTCAGCCATTCTTCCATGGAATGAAGAACCAAAGTGAATGCTGTATTGGGATTTGTCTATCCAGAGGAGAGATTTCCATTAGGTCTGGCCTTGGCTATCTGCATGTGTGGAGTGTCTATCCCAGGAAGATGGAATGCTTTGGACTGGAGTGGACCATAGAGATAATCAAGTTCCACCCTTCCCAGCATGGTGGGCCTTATTTTAATTAAAAAAAAATACAAATGGTGCACTTTCTTTGGTGATCAGTGTCAATCCAAGTTTCTCTTCTAGTAGAAGCTGTAACGCATTTTAAAGCAGTGGGCAAGAGGTGATATATTTAAAAAATATGCAGGGAATGGCTGRAAAGATCACTTCAGTGCTTCATAGTTGGTCTGACTTTAAAGATGTTTTGTCTGAAGAAAAAACATTTCCCACTGTGATGATTCCCACTGGGATTGCAGAGTGGCCTTTTTCAGCTGAGATCAGTAACATTTCTTTTTGACCTCTCCCACTCTCCCTTTCTGCTCTGGAGTGCTGAAGTTTGGCAGAGAAACTGGACTTGTGTTTAGGGAGGTGATGAAGAGAGCAGAGGTCTGTGGATCCCTTTGGGTCCAAGGAAACCTTTGGCTTGGTAGGAACAACCAGAAGTGAGGGCAGCTGGAGTTTCTAAGGCTTCTTGGACACTAAGGCATTTTTCTGAGTCASTTTGGGGCAACCCTCTGGTCTGAATGAGGAGACAACTCTCCTGTGCCTGCAGTGGGACARAGAAACTCCTTTAGGAGAATCAGATTGTGAAGGCTTCCCCAGAGACCATTTTCCCATTGACTACAGGATTTATTTCCTAATTAGTTTGCAGCAACCTCTCTTCCCTCTGTACTAATACCTTTTAAACCCCTTTTATTTCAATGTTTCCAGCTTTTAAAGTTGGGTGACCAGAGATGAGCATCAAACATCCATTTAAATTTTCGGGGCCTCTTGTGTCACCCAGTGTACACCTGGAAGAGGAAATGACACATCTTTTGTAATCAAGGGACTGTAAATCAGGGCCTAATTTGTCTAAACTTAGAGCACTCAGTATAAATCTCATTTAGTTACTGTAGGCAGACTTCCTGTGACCCTGGAGGTGAGAGTGCCCTGACACACCTTGCTGAGTTTGCTGAGTTTTGATGTGATTTTGAGATATTTCTGTAAATGTTAAATTCACATCTCCTGTTGAACTACTTAGAATCATGGAACAGTTTGAGTTAAAAGGGGCTTTAAAACTCATTCAATTCCAACTCCCTATGATGGGAAAGGACATTTTCCATTAGACCAGGTTGATCCAAGCCCCATCCAATGTGGTCTTGAACACTTCCAGGGATGGGGCAGCCACAGCTTCTCTGGGCAACCTGTACCAGGACCTCATCAYCCTCTGAGTTGAGAATTTCTTCCTAATATCTAAACTAAATCCCTCCTCTCATCGTTTAAAGCCATTTCTACTTTTATCAATAACTATTTGTATCCTATCACTACTTAGGACTGGGCGAAACCAGCTGGGTAAGTGATGTATCATCCCACACAGATTTATGAAATATTTTGTGTTTAATAAGAAATTAAATTTGTACTGTTTTTCCTCAAGAATTGCCTCATTCTTAATAATTTTACCAGGTCTGTGCATGACTGAAACTTCACATCATGCTTCTAACAGGAAGCACAACCAGGATCCTGGTGCCAAGATGTTCTTGATCTTAAGATTTGTGATTAATTTATTTGGAATTAATTTTCAAGTCCCTTGCCTTTCTAGGTTGGACCATTCTGCTCTGTTCCATATTTAAGGGTGCACTTTTAAGTCATTTAGTAAAATGTTCAAATCTTGCTTTGTCTGCAACAGCTTTTTGAGTCTAAAGGTTCTGTCCTGTACCTTTAACGTGGAGTCACTTCTGCTTTAGATCTCAAGATATGTTTTTTTCCCAACCCGTTTTTAGTTAATTATTAAAAATTACTTCAATAATTAAGGAGTTATACAGATTCATCTATTTTTCAGCACTTTGGAGTATTTCTGCTCGTAGTACATTTTTGGGGAAGAAATAATTTAAATACACCACAGCATTTGATCTTTTAAACCTTTTCCTCTCAAACAGGTAATTTATTTACCTGTTGCACAGCCCAAACCCAGGCACTGGAGGTTTTTTTTTATGAACTTTGCACATTTTATTCAAAATAGAGTTTGTTTTCAGGGGGAATATATTATAGTTAGGGTGAAGAATCCTCAGTTATGGTCCCTCATTGACACCAGAAAAGTATCACTGACCACATGCTGTGCGTCACTTGTGCTGCTGAGAGGAGAATCTGACCTGGAAGTGTTGATGCATGTGGGAATATAAATGGAAAGCTGGGAAATGGTCAAATTGGGTGCTTAGGACATGGTTTTGTGGTAGATCTGGAAGTGCTGAGCTAATGGTTGGACTTGATGGGCTTAAAGGTCCATTTTAACCTTCATGATTTTATGATTCTACGGCAGTAGAATCCACCAAAATTGGTTTTTTTTGTTTTCCCTAACAAAAATATGCTGAACTAATTGGAAATTTGAAGTAAGTTTTGAACATGCAGAGGAATATCCTGCCCTGCCTAGATCATCAGGAAAAAAAAGTAGAACACACTGTGGAATGGGAGACAGGCAGGTGAGCACAGTAAGAAATGAAAACAAGGAAAAGGAAATAAAGGAAATGGGGGAATGTTCGGATGCTTTGAATATTCTTTTAGAAGAAAAAAAAACCAACAAAACCGCGGAGATTTTCCTTAAAAATTTTTGAGACAGAAGTCAGAAGTGGAGAAAAACCTGAAAAAAGCCTTTTGGAGCATGTTTTGAATGYAGAGTGGTGTTTCCCACTTGTCAGTGTCGAGAGCTGCTGCCCAGCAGTGCTGCTGCAGTGTGTGTGTGACAGATGAACTCCACGGGGGTCAGTTGTGTGTCTGGACCACAGATGCACCAGAACACATTAGCACAGGCCCACAAATCAACACCTTCAACAAAAAATCCAGAGCTGGGAAGAAACTTTACAATGTTCCACATGCAGATGGCTGCAGCCAGGAATTGGTTTTTGTGCCTGTTCTAAAAATTCACGAGAATCGCTCGGTGGAAGGAGGGAAATGAATAAAGACAGAGAGAGTGCTGCTGGTAAATAATGCACGTGGGCTGATATCAAGAGGGTTTTGTGAGCTCTGTTAAGGATGAGATCTTTGATGTGTGTGAATGGTGCAGGTGGGGATGGTTACATCTAAATTAGCAAAGAGTGTGGCCCAATAGATTCAGAACTGTAGGGTGGATAATGTGGGAGCTGAGGGTGCAGGGTCCATGGGTTTTGGGGGCATTCCAGACATTCCAGTCTGGTTCCATTGTCACCTGCCGTGTCCCATGTGTCCTACTGAGTCTCAGCTTCTGCACTGGTTTCACAGAATCCCAGGATGGGTCACGCTGGAAGGGACCACAGTGGGGTTACCTGGTCCCACCTGCCTGGTCAGTCAGGGTCATCCCAGGGCACGGGGTTGTGTCCAAACAGGTCTGGAATATCTCCAGGAGGGAGACTCCACACCCTCTCTGGTCTCTGTTCAGGGCTTGGTCAGTGCACAGGGAAGTTCTGCCACATGTTCAGGTGGAATTTCCTGGCCATCAGTCCCTGCCCGTTCCTCCTGTGCCATTGCTGGGCCCCCAGAGCAGAGCCTGGTCCCTGCTCTGAGCCCTCCCTGCAGACAGGGACACACAGGGATGAGGGCCCCTCTCAGCATCTCCTCTGAACAGCCCCAGCTCCCTCAGCCTTTCCTCACCAGGGMGATGCTCCAGTCCCTTTTTCATCTTTGTCACCTCCTGTGGACCCTCTCCCGGAGCTCCCTGTCCCTCCTGTCCTGAGGAGCCCAGAGCTGGACACAGCACTCCAGAGGWGCCTCCCAGCACTGAGCTGAAGAGCAGGAGATCTCTCTGATGCCTTCTAAATCAGCTCATGATATGAACTGACACAAGTAAAGGATGTCTGTGAGATTTTCTTAGCTGGAAGTTGAGAGAAATAGTTGGGACACTAGAGAAACAGTAATGAGGACACTGGAGGATAAGGAACAAGCAAGTGAAACAGGAAATGGACAGAGAAGTTGGTTTAAAATAATTTGAAAATGATTTATTGGGTGCAACCTCTACCCTCTGTGATTTCTGCTGTTATTACTTCCCTGCAATACAACCAGGGAGGACAGTAAGTTGCTGTGGGCTAAAGGTAAATGATGATCTATTGCAAGGGAGGGAAGGAAAAGTGTTCTAAAGGTGGGTGTGTGAGGCACCTGCTCTCCCCTGACAGTGTTCTGTGTGTTGGATCTCACTGGACCAATCTGTTCCAAAGCCTGCTAGGGAAAAAGAAATGTCAAAAGTTAAAGCAAACTTCATTAAGTGAAGAAAGGAGGTTTATAGGGCAAGATTTTTCATTGCTGGGGATTGTTATACACAGATTTCATAGAATCATTGAGTTCTTGAATAGTTTTGGTTGGARGGAACATTTAAGATAATTTCATTTTCATAGGGACACTTTCCACTGGACCAGGTTGCTCAGAGCCCCATCCAGCCTGGTCTTAAACCAGGAGAATGTGTCTCCTGTTGCTGAATTTTTGTTTTTTTTGAAGTTTATTAACTTGCTTTTTTAACTCTTTTTTTCCTTTTTCTTTGCAGGCTGGATGCCCCAGGTAGCTTTCACACACTTGAAATCATCAGCTGATGCTGGTGACACTCAATTAGTGCTCCAGGAACCTGTTGATTGGCAACCTGGTGATGAAATCCTGGTGGGAAATTCAGGCCTTGGAGATGCACAGCAGCAGGACGAAGTGGCTGTTATCCAGTCTGTGAACAACACAGAGCTGCACCTCAGATCACCACTCAGGTATCCTCTCAAGAGCCAAGGGGATTTTTATAGCACAGAGCTAAACAAGGAGAAAATTTGATCAAAGYCAGGATTTGATGTTCCCTGTGGTATATAATAACTATATAAATCCCTTTAAAAGAGGTGGCCAGTGATATTTCAGATCCTCACTCCGCCTAAAGGTAGTGGATGTTCAATCTTGAATGTTTAAATTCTATGTTTAAATTCTGTATTGTGCCCTTGAACTCAGAAAACTTTTTAAGCAGAAAACACTGATGGCCAGTAAAATCCAGTGGCATTAGTATAGGAATGACAAAGAAATTTCCTGCATAGTTATTTCTTGAGAAAACGCTTGGTTTTTTTTTTTTTTTTCCACAAGAAATGTCTGACTTCTGTAAAAAAAAAAATCTTCTTTTCTTGAGTGATTTTCCTAAGTAATACACGCAAAGTGAGTTTTTTCGCTATGGAAATCTGCTTCCATATTTCCTGAATGTTGATTTCACTGCCTTACAATCTTTTCAACTTCTGTGCTTGGAGATCTTGGACAAACTGAAAGCTGTACTTCTGATCATCTCCTATGTTGAAATGTTATCTCTTTAGAGGCAACCCAAATCCAGTGCCCAGGAAGATTAACAATATTATTTTCAGGAATAATTTGGGCTTGAGGGGAAAAGTCCTGATTGTTTTGCAGCCCAATGTGCTTTGAGAAGAGAATTCAAAGGCTGTAATATTTTGTTTTAAATATCATAAAATTATGGAACATCCTAAATTGGAAGGGACCCACCAGGACTGTTGAATCCAGTTTTTGGCTCTGCACAGGACAATCCCAAAATCTCCACCATGTGCCTGAAAATGCTGTCCAAATGCTTTTTGAGCTCTGGAAGCCTTGGGGCTGTGACCACTTCCCTGGGGTTCCTGTTCCAGTGGCTGACCCTCCTCTGGATGAAAAGTCTTTTCCTAATAATGTAATATAATATTATAAACATAATCTAAGGAAAGTTTGAGTGCTTGTGAGACAAAAAGGTGAAAACAAACATCAGACAAGGAAAAGCCTATCTATCACTGAAYGTGCCACTGTCCATAGTGACAAAATGACTGAAACCAGCTCTGAATTTGGGAGGYTGTGGTCATGAACATAAATAATGATAAATCATAAACATAATTCTCTTCCACATGGCAGGTGCAGATGCTTTTGAGTCTTTGTTTTCTGTCTATTCTTAGGTACCCCCACAGCGCTGGAGAGGGACAGGGGAATGACCAAATTATGCCTTTGAGTGCTGTGGTGGCTCTGCTCAGCAGAAGGGTTGTGATTCAAGGAAATGTCACTCTGGAGAGGATGTCCCACCTCAGACAGTGTGCAAATGCAGGTGAGGAGATCTTTCCTCGCAGAAATGTACCGAGGAGGAAAACTGCTCTGCTGAAATCCCATTGTGGCAGCATCACTGTGTATTACAACTCTTTCTTCCTAGGATAACTTTGAGACATCCCAACGCCAGGAGAGAGAGTTTGTCTTTCCAAACATTGTTTGACATTGAAGTGTGAAGTCTTGGGAGTTGAACAGCACTTCATTGTAATATCTCAGATGTATTATTTTCACATTGTTGTTTCAAGCCATCTTGGGAAAGACCCTTTAGTTTTGCCTGAGCCTAAGGGTGTAGAAAAGAAAGTATCTTCTGAAAACRTGTTTCAGTGTACATAATATATTAAATTTTTAATTGTGTTTACTGTTTAGTCACTTTWAGAAGAAGGAAAAACAAAACAGCCCAATGCTGTTTGTACTCTTCAGCGTAAAATATTGAGATGTTGTTTAGTGTTTAGGGATGCCAAAGAAAAAATAACAGGTGATGCATAAAATACCACTAGTGAAAAAATGTKAAATATCTCAGTTCTCCTTTAGTTTTACCTACATGAAATGCCACAGAGTTTGACAGGTGGCTTCCTGATTTACACCATCTATTGAGGGAGCAGAATCAGACACAGTGATTATAATGTGAGGAGAGTTAGGTTATCTGGCAACCCAGGTGTAAAGTTTCCTTTAAAAAAAATGCCTTGGGCTTTCAGACTGTGACACAAGACTTCATTTGATATCCAGCAGCCAACTGCTTATATTACTCATRGATTTATGGTCCATTTTGTGTGGAACTCATAAATATAGGCTCTGAAATGTGCTAACCGTTTGAGGTTTTTATCTGAGTTAAAGKATAGGAGGATTTCTCAGAGGAGTCACCAGAAGAGGAGTGAGCAGTGGGGTTTTTTGTGGTTAATTTACCTTCTTTTAAAGAAAAAATGACCATTACTGGGCATCAGCAGGCAGTGCTGGAATTTGAGCTGCCCTCTGCACTTCCACTGAACAAGTTCTGAATCTCCTCATATTAAAATATCTCACACACATGGCAGGGTGTCTTTCAGGAATTTTACCCAGCCCTATGATTTACTCTTCTTGTCTTATCATGGCATCCAAGAATGGTTGAGTTGGAAGGGAATTTAAAGATAATCTTGTTCAACCCTCTGCCATGGGCTGGGACATTTTCCACTATCCCAGGTTGCTCCAAGCCCTGTCCAACCTGGTCTTGGACACTTCCAGGGATCCAGGGATCCAGGGGCAGCCACAAACACAAACAGCTTCTCTGGGCACCCTGTGCCAGGGCCTCACCACCCTTATAGGGAGGAATTTCTTCCTAATCTTTGTTTTTGTCTTTAAATTGTGGATAGCAACAGTTCCCCACCCATCCGCAGGGAGAGTTAGGAATGGGGAGTTTAAAAAAAAAAAACCACTAAATGTCTCATTTCAGTTTAGTTCTATRCATCCATGCCCAATCTCCTTTTCAAGAACCTTACACAAGGTAAATCAACATCAAATCCCTCTTCCTCATGCTTAGGACTATCTAAAATTAAACAGGAAGAACTCCCTAAGATGTAAAACTACAGCTTCCTGCTTGTTTTGATATATTTCTCTCTAAAATGTCCAGACCTTTAGGGAAAAAAACAAACATGATAACATTTAGAGGGAGCATCAAAAATGTTTGCCTGTGTTGTCTTTGGGCCCATGTTTCACTCCCTGCTGGAGGTGGATTCTCACAGGGTCAGCATGGTGGGTCTCACTCTGCACATCCCCACGGATGTGTGCCACTCACAGCTCCCTCTGGGTTGTGTCCTAGGTCACTCTGGGTGTCTGTACAAGAGAAGTGAGAGGCAGCTGGGCTCTCAGGACCTGGGAGCCATCGTGGCTGTGGAGGCCTTGCAGGGAGAGGCGAGTGGGCTCCAGCTGGAGGGGGTCCAGCTCCGCCACGTGGGCCAAGCGTTCCGACATCGCTGCAGTGCCCTGACTGTCACTGGCAACACCTGGATGGCAGGTGAGTGCCTTCACTGGATATACCCACCTTCTCCTGCCCAAAGCTGGGGCAGATGCCCTCAAAACCTGCTTGGCTCTTGGCTCAGTTCACAAATTGGATTGTTAAATGAGAAAAAAACCCCTCGCTTTTAGTCTAAGCCCAAGCAATGAAGTGGTTTCAGCTTCTTCAGTTCTTTTGCATCTCTGCTTCTTCCTAAAATAATGTTTTGTTTTTATGCTACGCTGCTCTTGATGTAGAAGAGAATAGCTCTGGGAATTAATGCACTAATACACTACGAGGGAGCCCAAAAGTGGCTCAGGACTGGCTGCTTACAGGTTAAAAATWTAATTTTATTGCCCAGAAGTTAAGGGACATATTAAGTTCTTTTGACTTTGTCACTGTTAAGTGCTAAATTCAGTTCTGTGGAAGGGGCAGTGAGGCCTCTGAAGACTCGTAAAGGCAGAGGCAAATTAGGTGGGCTCAAAGAATGTTTCAGGGGTGCTGGGTGGGACTTTTCCCTCCAGCTAARCTACACTCACACCTCACACAGAATTRSAGAAGAGTTTGGTTTGTRAGGAACCTTAAAAATCAGCTAATTCCAAACCCTGCCATGGACAGGGACACCCATTCCTGTGCCATCTTCATCACTGAGTGAGGATCAGGGCTTTCTGGCAGCAGAAGACAGCACTGGCCATGTTCTGGGTGGTGGGCAGGTCACCATGAGAACCTCGAGGAGGAGTAGAAAATCCCTGCCCTCAACCTGCAGAGGGATTTTTGCTCACAGTGCTATTTCCTTCCAGACTCTTACATCCGTGGCTGTTGTGTTCTGGATTCCTTCAGCCGAGGTCTCCACCTGGCTGGGATCTCCAACCTCAGTGTGGACAGCAAYGTTTTCTACAACATCTCAGGCCATGGGCTTCTCCTGGGTAAGGGAAACGGGAAATTATCTGCCCTACACACAACAGCAACGTGTTCTGATTCCCATTTGCATGAAAATGCCTTTGGAGGAAAGAAAGGCAAATCTTTAACTGCACTCTTGAGAACTTTAATTCTTCATTTTTTGTTGCCAGTGAATTTGGAATAAAGCTCCCACAATTCCACACACAGCTCCTAGCAGCTAATTCCATTTGACTTGCTCTCTTTCTTCAGCTCACTCTTCACTTGATCTGGTTCCCTTATTTTTCCCATGAAAAAAAGAAGTAGGTTTTTGGTTGTTTTTTTTTTGGGGAAAAGTACCCAATATTTAAGACCCCAGCACAGTGAAGCATTTAAGAGCATATTACCTTTAACTTGAGTAATTTGATGTCAAAGATAATGGAATGAAAGCATATGCTGAAAGTTAACCGGAGGATTTAGCACTTAAATAAATTGGAGCTTGGAGCAACATAAATGTTAAACAACAAGATATTTCTCCTAACTAACCATCAGGASACTGACTTGCAGCATCTTCTGCTGRGATCCCRTGTTGCCTGAATACCTAAAGATGTAGTTTGATTTTTATTTTCTATATGAGAAGGGATAAAAATGACCAATTATGAGATAAACAGAGAGGAATAAAAAAGCCTTCAGTCCTGATCCTGCAGCTCCCTGTGCTGGGTGCTGTACATTAACACAATGAAGAGTGATAGACTGTGATTCAAACAGGGGAGATTATAACTCCAGTGTGATTGCACACACCATGCAGATGAAGAGAGCTGGCTCAGAGAGATGTGAGGACTTGCCCAAGGTGATGTACAGAGCCCTTGCAGCCATGSGGAAGCAGAGCAGGAACTCCAAGCTGCTGGAATCCCTTGGCTCACTCATGCTGGACTCTGTATCTGAGTTAAAGGACTCTGGGCTGAGCTGAATTTTCAGCCTGAATACACCTCATCCCCAAGATGTCTTTACTGGCTTCAATCTCAGCAGCTCCAGAGGGGCTGATGGATGAATTTATATATAATTTTGTTGTCTGTGAAGGAATATTTATTATAGCTGGCTTTTTGCAGCTCTGGAATTGGACTCTGTCAGTGATTTCACCTAAAATYCTGATTTTCAGAGGGTTTGCAAGACCATCACAAAACATCACTCTAGTCTTAAATTATTGGCACACCAGATCTGAGCTTGGAAGCCAAAACCTCAAAAACCTCAAAAGGACTTCTTTAGAATCCTGTTCATGCTCTGGTTGTGGCATTGTTTGTAGCATACACACCCTASAAAGGAAATATTTCCTAAATTGGTCTTTTTTTCAAAAATTGAGAGAGGCTTGAAAGATTGAGGAAGGCTAGAAGCATTTACTGCTATCCCCAAAACCAAAGGGCACAGGTTTTCCTGTGAAGTGGCTTATGTTTAGGGGAGTAATGATTTGGGAAGGGATCTGTATTATGAATAGACTTTGAGTAGGTGTATTTGAAGATAATAATAAAGTAATTTGTTTTATAAACAAAACTAAACAGATGTGATTTGCTCCTGATGTAGGCCAGAAAGARCAGCCTGTGCAGAGATTCCACACAAGATTCCACTTTGAATTCTGCTTCCAAAAGAGCAGCATTGCTGGTCAGAGAATTATGGAGTCACTAAGGTTGGGAAAAACCTTCAAGGTCATTGAGTTCAACAATTAAACTGTCCCTGCCAAGACCATCACTAACCTGGGTCCCTAAGTGCCACATCTCTGTGGCTGTGAACACTTCAGGGATGGCAACTCCACCACTTTCCTGGGAAGTCTTTTCCAATGCCTGACTGACCTTTAGGAGAAGAAATCTTCCCTAATATCCAATCTAAACCTCCCCAGGAGCAACTTGAGTCCATTTCCTCTTATCCTGTTGATGTCCTTATTTAGACTTGGCATGTTTGGGACCGTCCACTTCTTGCTGTTGGGCGGCCCATTTCTTTCAGCTGTAATTTGAAAAGATATTTATTTTGTTTTCTTCCTACTTTTATGTTGTAACTAGATCTGGGGCACCCCACAAGTCTGAATTGTCTGATCAGTTGGTTGATTGATTTTTCCCTCTATCTTCTACTCCATTACTTAGGGGGATAACTCTCCCTTTTGTGCAGAGTTGCACCAGGTGTTTTYCAGTCTGTTTAGAAATTTTCTTACATGTAAGTAGGGCAGTGAATGGAGACAGGAGATAAAGAATTCTTTGAATTCTAGTACTGCCAGAGGCATGCCTGTGTGTGCATAGGTGAGCCACTTTCCCACTCTGAACCCCTCTGAATCTCTTTTCCCAACTGTAAAACTGCTTTATAATACATATTTTATTTATTTTCACCATGAGCTTGCAGTGCAGAACACATGACTTTTGGTGTAATTCCATATAATACCTGGTACAGGGAAATATATGTAAATACAACATCTGGACTTGTGTATATTGAAATGAGAATCATAATAGAGGGTTTCTAGCTATATGTAAATATATGATGTTTGGGGTTTTTTCTTCCTTTTCTTTTCTTTTTTTAAATTATTTTTTCCTATTATTCTTTTTTTTTTTTCTCTTTTAAAGGTGAGCAACTTGAAAAGATCAGAGTTAGTAACAACATAGTGATTGGCCTTTCTGGAACTGATGGTTTATCCAACATTGAGACTCTGTCACCAGCAGGGATCTACATCAGGGCTCCTGCCAACCACATCAGGGTAAGAAATTCTGGTATCAGACAAAACATTTCCTTTCTAATCAAAGATATCAGTAAGAAACATAGCTTCATTTATCTGGGAGATCACATACTCAATATTTGTTTCTTGGCTGAGCTGTCAGAAGCTGTGCTTKTGATGGGATATTGAAACAAGAGCATATTACAAAATAAATTATGTTCCTGGGTAAATTTATTACTGAAAATTTTGCTGTGTTTGGGTGGAATGGAATATTACAGTGAGATCTGAGCTACTTTGAGATGTTGTTTTATTTTATAATACAGATTAAGGAAACCTGGAAGAAGTTTAATCTCATCTTTTCTAGAACTTCTGTCATTATCGAAAACCCCTCAGTTTTAATGGACTGATGACAAACACACTAAAATTCATTAATATCAAATGCACCTCTGTCTGGATTTAAAATTACATTGCACATACCATCCAAGATTTGGATTCCAGGGTGAGAAGGAAAATGTGCTCCCTGTCCAATTGTCCTATGAAAATGACATTGATTTGGAAAGAAATGAAGCTTCTCTATTCTAAATGGTAATAAACCACCAGCTTTTTAAAGAGCTAACAGCTTAACAGCCTCACATCAAAAAGCTGAACTCAGTAAAAAAATACTTTTATTCACTAATTCTCTGATGCTTTCTCTTAGTTCATACTCCTTTTTAGTCTTATATTTCAGAATAAAAATCATTTTAATGCATTTCATGGAAAAAAAAATATGATTTTTATCAACTTCAAACCACTTTTCCTTCCTAACTATTTTAAGGAATTACATTGAAACTGACCTTTCTTACCACGCTTTCAGTAGTGAAAAATGCATATTTTCATTTAAARAATAATCCTAACCTCTTCTACTGTTAACCCTCAGTAACCAAACCAATTACTGTTTGTGAAGACCGAATCACCCTGGGGGCTTCTGCTCCAGGAGGAAAGATTTGCACCTAAATTTGAAGGTGAAAAAGAGACCAACACACATTTCCTACATTATTGTGAAGATAGTAGCAGTGAGGAAGGAGAACTTTTTTTGCAATTCCCTTGAGGGCATATTTATCATTTTAAGGCCATCAAATATGGTTTGAAAATACAACAACTGGGCAGGATCATGAGGATTTCAGCTCCACTAAACACAGAGTTTTGTACTGTCATGCACTGAGTTACCCTGGAGCTGTTCACTCCATCGCCAGTGGCTCAGCTTKTGAAAAGATTTCCTGCAATTACCTCCACGGGTTCCTGGGAACTGTCTGTGCTGACTTTTAGGCACTTTTATTTATCCTTCTCTGTTCATGGATCTTTACAGATAAAAAACAGCATCTGTGGCTGTTACCCCAATATTGGGGGGTCCATTCTGCTCTCCAAAGATGTGCTGCTCCAGGCAGGGTAGCAGGTGGCCCTTAAAGGGTGGCTGATAACCCTAATCATTTTGAGGAGTGAAATATTTGAGGTGTTGTAGCTTCAAAAGGAAAACACGAAGATGTTGTTTAAAATTGTTATTAACTGAAAATTGTTATTAACTGAAAATTGTTATTAACTGTGCATTTACTGTGCAACAGGACCAAGCAGTGCTCAGGAAGACAGCAAAGTACAGAGATATTAAGAGAAAAAAAGTCACACTTCTGCCAAGCAAAACAACTGTGGACTTTTTCTTAGTGCAATAAATAATCACCWAATTCAAGGGCTGCTGGTCCAGCATCAGCATTATGATGTTGGAGARTCTTAGCACCTTTTATCTGATCAAATGACTCAAGCTTTTTAGGTATTTATAATCTTAAKTAAGTGGGGAAGTTTGAAGAATGTAATGGGAAATCTTCCACCTGTCTGGATTCCAGGAAACTGGAATAGAAATTTTCCCCATTTARGTTTTAATTTTAGCTGTTTGTCAGTCATAGTGTTTATTAGTTTAGTGGATTTTTTGCTTATTTTCAGATTTCTGACTTTCAGTTATTGGTTTTAAACTTATTGGCTGCAATCTTTAAGGCAGTTCAGACAGCCAGAGAGCTTTAGGTCCACCCCGTGTGACATCTTCTGTGCATGATGGGCTAAGCCTTTCCACAGTGAGACCTGCAATAATATTTTCATAACTATTCCATTTACTCAGGAGCCTAAATTTGCATCGGTGGCTGAAGAGCTTAAATTTCCTTGAAATTCAGTGGCGTCCTAAATGTAGAAATTGGGACAGAGGAGTCGCTCAGACCTGACCCTACAAAGATATTTGGAGACCCAATTCCCACTGGTTTCCATTTGACTGAAGCTCTTAAGTGCACTGGTGAATCAGGCTGTTAGATGGAATTTTATATTCAGACAGTATG